CCCCCAATGCGGTCGTGGCTCCTGCGCTGTGGGCCATCTTCTCCCTGCAGTGTGCCACCATCTTCCTCTGGTTCTGCTCTGGGCATCCACCTCACTCCTGAGCCCTTCCCTGTGCCTGGCCCCCAGACTGGGTGCTTTTCCCTCTCCCACAAATTAATGCTGGTACCTTTGTGTCCGTCCTTCTCCTCTCTTTACTGTTTTGCATATGGAAAGTGCTGCAGTCTTTGGGCTCTGCTGCTCTTTTCTGCCGGTAACTCCAGCTGTGCAGTTGCTCAATCCAATTTTTCTGTTACTAGTGTCTAACTCCTTTAATCTCATTATTCCTATGGTAACCTCTACAGTTTGTCTCTTGTGTGGCTCCCGTTTTGCCCTGGCCCACTGTGGTCTTGATGGCCACCCTGGTATTTGTCCTTTGTTTGCAGTTTTTATATCATTCTAGTTTCTGTAATCACCTGCTTTCTTTATGATCCTTCCCTCCTTCAGATTCCTGGAATTCCTGGAAATGATTTGCACCACTCCCCTCCCTGTTCATTATTCTGTCCTTTCAGTTTGTAGCCCTAGCTTGTGCCCAGATGCATTTTTTTTTAATTAACCCATTAACACACTCGATTAGCTTTTCCCTTATTTAAGGCAATATAGAGTAACGCTACATGTGATATGCATATCTCTCTGCATTGAAGCTGCTGTGACCCCTGCCCACATATGAAGTTAGTGTGTGTCTGATGTGGCTCAGCAGTCAGGCAGGAGAGCTTTTATCGAAGTTCCCTGCCTGCTCGCAGAGCAGTGTCTGTGCTTGCACATGTGTCAGGTCAGGGTCTGGTGTTCCTCAGGCTCTGGATGCCTCGAGCCCCTTCACCTACAGAATAATTTAGACTGGTCTGATGGTTACGTGAGCAGAGAAGAACTTGCTTAGTTGGTAAGACAAAATTTGAGACCTAACTACTTATGAAAATGAGTTTGAGTTAGAAGTTTGGTAATTTTTCTATGCAAAACAATAATTAAATGACTGGCTGCTGAAGAGAGGGTTGCAGTCCCGAGAAGGATGAGGGGGCTCTGATAGAGGTGTTTCTAGTGAGTGGTTTGGGAGGTGCTGGTGTGATTACAGGCACTAATAATCTACTGCACACTTTAAATTGTTTTTAGTCCTTAAAGTTTTATTGCAAGGTCTGTCATTTTGTTGTATTAGGACCTTCATTTGTGAAGGCACAAGCTCAGGACAGGCTCTAAAACATTGTTTCAAAAAAACCCTCCCAGTTAGTGTGTCATGGAGAAAAGCTTGGAAGTTTGGTGTGAGGTGACCAGGAAGGCAACCAGGGTAATTATTGTCTTGAATGGCACTCTCCCTGTCTCTGTTTTGGAAGCCTAAGTTCTAATATTATCAGCACTGCATGTGCAGGTTTGAAGAAAGAAAACCAAAACCTGAAGCTGAAGCCCCTGTAGGTGTTAGATCTGAGCGTGGTAGCTGGTGGTGGCATTATCCCTGTGTACTCAACAGCACATGGAGCATGAGAGACTGCAGTCTGCAGGATTGCCAAGCTGGAATCCTTTCACTTGGCCGATGATAAAGGTTTCAGGTTATGACTACCTATGCTGTATATCTATGTTCAGGCACTCCTATGTTTTATTTCTTGCTTCAGTGAGCGTTTAAAACAAATACCTAACTTCCTTTACAGTCAGCATGAAAACGCTGAGCAAGATCTGGGGAACAAGAATACTAATGGTTTACAAAGAACAGTGTCATCGGAATCAACAGACTCAGGTATGGCTTTCTCAATTAATAAATAACAAATAAGAAACGAAAGGCTTCATATCTTTACATGGCTTCTACTGCAAGCAGCTTCCAGGGTTTGGAGAGAGAACTAATGCTGCCTGCCTGCAATCCTTATAGCCACTTCTCGTTCTTATGCTCTTGAAAGGAGGGAGGCAGGCAAACCATCACGGCAGTTCATGGTTTGGGTTGTGGGTGGGTTTTTTTGCTTTAATTGTCCTGGAGCATGTTAGGAGTAGAGCTAGCACGGAGGAAAAACTGGTTCACTCTGACAGAGGTGGCTTTTTCCTTTTTTTTCTTAGGATGGCTGTTAAGACGTGGTCGCTGACCTGTCATGCTTTGTACTCCAGGGTGATGTTTATCACTACCATTTTCTGATTGCCTTGATGTTCTGCTCTGTACATGGTAGTAGGTCAACACCTTATCATGAGTGTGTCAGCCTTTCTTGCAGTAGAGACAGCTGAAGATGAAGGCTGCTACAGATAGCCCAAGATAGGCTTCACTAGTGAATTGGATTCCCACCATTCTCTAGTCTGTGGTGTCTTGCAGATATTGGCTTGTGAGCATTTATAGTTGCGTGTTGGGGCTGTAGTCTGGAAAACGGGGAGATAGTGTTTCATTCTTCATTGTTAGGATCCGTTGCATATCTGTATTCAGCTCTGAATGGGACCGGTTTGAGTTTCTGCCCTTTGGAGGGTGATAACTTGGATGAAAGCAAGTTGTCACTGTGTGGTTTCTCTTTTTAAACCCAAACTGTGCTAACCTGCTCTGCACGCTCAAATCAAGGCTGTTGAGCAGGGTTTGTCTTGTG